TTTTCTTCCTGACCCCTTCTGCACTGCCATCCTCGCTCTTCTAAAGAGCCTTGCTTTTCGTTGTCATCACCCCTGTTCAGTCTCTGCTTTGTCACCATTCACACTCCTTCTCTTCTTTCCGTTTCTGAACATTCCTGTCATTCACCCCTACTCTACACTCACTCTCCAGCCAGCTTCTAGATATGTGAAAGGGGAGGGATGGATGGAGGGTTTGTTGTGCTGGTGCTGGGACGGGGACTCAAGAGTGGGGGGCAAGACAAGCTCCAGCTGCCTTCAGGAAAGACTGGGCCGCTGATGCAGTTTAAGAGGTTGTGGGAACCTGACCTCACAGCTTGGCTCTGACCCTCCTTTCCAGCAGTGATTTATACCCCACAGCAAAGAACATGGTATTTCTTCACAACATCATTACCTTTCCCCCTAAAAGTTAGAACTCCACCTCCCATTTGACGTTCTTCAACCCCAATGGCGGAGTGCTGGAGCCAGAAAGTTCTTGCTGCATACTAAAGCAAACTGTGGGATACAGTGTGTACAAGGGCACACAGGCACAACAACACACACTTGTGTGATCACATGGACTATGCACATGTATCAGGAATGGGGAAATGTGTACACGGCATGGATATCGGAGGAAGTGCCACAACGCAGAACAAGGGTGCGTAACTTCCAAGGAGCTCCCAACACTGGCTGCTTCCCCGTGCTGGTGGGGGTACAACGTCCCGTCCAGTCACAGCCAACCTGTGACCACCCCAGAGGGTTTTCAAGCCAAGGCCAGAACAGAGTAGGGTTGCCAGCTCTGGGCTGGGGAGGGGGCTCAGCAGATGTAAAATTTCCAGAAATTTTGAAGCTCGGAAAAAAACCCAGTTTTTTTCCAGTGGAAACGGAAATTTTCGGGAAAATGGGGGGGGAAATGCTACATTAGCACTTCTTTTTTCTTTTCCAGATTGAAAGTCATTCTGTTACTTTAGGAACATAAAATATGACTATGGACATTTTTACTTGGCATGAAATTATCACAACTAGCCTATTAAAATATAGTGTATCCAAACAATTATTACAAACAGAATACCCAGCCACATGCAAGAACAAAACTGAACCCTTTTTCTTTTCTTGTGACAACAGCCCCTCCTAAAGGAAGAAATGCATCTTGTTCTTGCATTGGAGAGTTCAGTTTGTAACCTAGGACTTGCTTGTCCTCAGTGCACAGAAATTAGATCAATCTGATACCATAGATATATATTTTAGAAATGATTTTGAAAATATTTGAACACCTTGTCTTAAAATATTTTATTCATCATGTTAAAATAAAACGTTCCATAATCAATTTTTTTCCCTTTCTTTTTTCATTTTTTCGGAAAAAAACAAAAAAGGCTTCAGGAAAAAAATGGGGGAAAATCGTTTTTTCCACGAATTATTCCGTTTTTTTCTGGGCCTTCACATCTCTAAGCAGGATACCATGACGCTCCAGAGTCCACCTCCTGAAGCAACCAGGGAACTGCTCTCTGTAGCCTGGAGATCAGCTGTAATCCTGGGAGATCTCCAGTCACCAACTGGTGGTTGGCAACCCCAGAACACAGTTGGTTAGACATGGCCTGCCTCTGCGTAGACTTCCTGGGTGGCCTCCCACACAAGGACGAACCGGGGGCCAACCCTGCTGAGCTTCCGAGATCTGATGAGATCAGGCTTGCCCGGGCCACCCAGGCCAAGGCAGGTCTGTCTGGGCCAGGCTTCCACATGGGGGCAGAAAAAGCCCCCCCCCCGAAGCTGCAGGAAGCAGGGTGAAGGTGCTTGACCACAATCGTCCCTCTACAGCGAAATGCCGGTGGCACCACCCCGCTGGGGAGAACAGCCGGGTGAAGGGCTTAAAGTGTGGGCAAAAAAGCAGAAGACCTTCACTCTGGTCCCTTCTCAGGGAGGGGTGAAGCTTCCTCATGGAAGCTCTGACGACAGCCACCACCCCCCACACACACACACGCTTTCTCCTTTCCGCTGGAGCAAGGGAGGTTTCTCCCTTTGCTCCAGCTTAAAAAGGCAAGCCCCACGAGCCACATGCGGATTCAGAGTGAGCGTGACATCTCGTGGAAACTACCCACAAAAGCAAGGGACACCCAGCTGGCCACCCCAGGCAAAATTCCCATCAGGAAGCAGCCAAGGACTATTCTTCCTTGACATGCATGTTAGACCCTATAATTACTTTTTATAGAACTTGTATAAACTTCTGTGCCCCCGTTCTTTCAGTGCTGCTTTGTGGTTAAATGCACAGAAATCCTCTAGATTTTATCAAGCTTTTCACCAGCCCTCATTTCTCTTCTCCTCAAGCCGGTCACCGCTCTCTGCATCACATCCACCTTCCCCTACTGCCAACCAGGGCTCCCTCTTTTTGGAACGCCACCTCAAGTAACTAATGAACTAGCACCTTATGATTTTATGATTTCATTGTGTTTGAAATGATTTTATGTGGCTTTATTTATTTATTTAATTTATTTATTTATCCATTCCACTTTTACCCCACCCTCCCCGCAAGCGGGCTCAGGGCGGCTTCCAAAACTGACAAGCAGTACTCAAACACAATAAAACATAAATACAAAGCATCAGTTAAAACACAAACAATCCATATAAAACATTCATTAGATGGCGATAAAACTAAAGTGCAGTTTAAAGACACATTCAACGGTGCCACCACGTTAGGTCATATTGGGTCGAAGTTCACACAGGGCGCTGCTGGTACGCCATCTCTCCTATCAGAACGCCTGCCTGAAAAGTTCTGTTTTCACAGTCCTGCGGAACTGTGACAAGTTCCACAGGGCTCTAATCTTGGCAGGTAGCTCGTTCCAATAGGACGGAGCTGCAAATGAAAAAGCCCTCATCCTGGTTACCATCAACCTGACTTCCTTAGGGCCAGGGAGGTCCAGGCGGTTTAGGGCCAGGGAGGTCCAGGCGGTTTTGGGATCCTGATCTCAGTATTGGGTATCGCGGGGAGGGCGGGGCACAAACTGAATAAATCAAATCAATAAGCTGTGGAGTCCTGTGAGCAATAATTCTACTTGGTGAGCGACTGGCATTGAAGTTGTGGCCAAGTGATTTGGCTACTGAGTAAATTACGTTTCCCCTGGAGCCCTCCTTCCTGAGCGAAGACAAAAATGTGCGAACCGAAGGTTAAAAACCTGTGAGTTAGCTCCCACTCCCTCAGCTTAGAGGGAACACTGCTGCCCACACTGTCCCCCTTCCTTTGTCCGCTCTTCAGTAAAATCTTCCGCGGCAGCTCCTACTCCTAAAGCCCATAAACACTGAACTTTCACCACCTTTACAAGAAGTGATGGTCACGTCCCATTACTGCCTTGCCTCAACCTCTACAGAGCTCTCACAAGCACAGATGCCCAAATTACCTGGATGGTTGAGCTCGCCAGCTGCACACAGCTTAACAGGACAGCCAAATGCAGCAGTAAAGAGCAAGAGTCCAAGAAGCACCTTCAAGACTAACACATTTTGTGGCAGGGGAGGAGCCGTATCTGAAAAAGTACCTGAAGAAATGAGCAGTGGCTCCCGAAAGCGCCTCCCCTGCCACCGATTTTGCTAGCCTTTAAGGTACTCCTTCCTGCCAACCTAGCAGTTCGAAAGCAAGTAGATAAATAGGTACCACTTCGGTGGGAAGGGAACAGCGTTCCGTGCGCCTTGGTGTTTAGTCATGCTGGCCACATGACCACGGAAACGTCTTCGGACAGCGCTGGCTCTTCGGCTTGGAAACGGAGATGAGCACCGCAACCCTAGAGTCGGACTCGACTGGCTTCTGAGCAAGGGAACCTTTACCTTTAAGGTGCTCCTGGCCTTTTGCTCTTTTCTACTGCTACAGACAGACTAACACGGCGACTCGTCTCGATCTAGCACAGTCAAAGGTTTGACAAACTTTTTGTTTAGACTTGTCTGGTTTTCAACTGCATAACCTGCTCTCTCTCTTCTCATAGCTTCCCGCTGTCTGCCACCACTCCCTTCCTATCTCTTCTGCTGTGAGTCTCGTCCGCTAAGTACACCAAGTGCATAAAACAATTTAAATTAGGGCGAAAAGGCAGACAAACAATTCAGATCAGGAAATCATGTGGGCGTGCATGTCCTTGCAATACTTTGCCACAGCTGCTCTATGTCAGAACCCACAGCTAACAACGAAGTACACGCATTCCAGGAACGGTTATACTTTTATTGCAAAGCTATAGATGCAGTAACACAGGCACTGTTAAGAATGGCCCCAGCCAGTAGAGCATAATAGGATATAGGGTATTCGTAGGCACACACACACCCCCATGGCATTGGCCAATTAGGCACCCTCCCGCGCGCGGAATAAGTCAGGCAACCGTTAGGTGGCTAAAGCTGAGAACTCAGAGTCTCTCACGGTACATAGGAGCTCTCCGGACAACACAACCTCCTCCTGCACATCTGTAGGGATAAGCGTTTCAGCAAAGGCAGAACAGCAGGGGTAGGAATGCAATAGCACTTAACAAGACACAGAATGAACTCCCCAACCCCCATGGCAGCATAGCTGACACTCTGTCTTCAACTGCACCAGTACTCGAGCCAATGCACTTAGAAGGGTGTAACTCCACTTAGGGCAACACCAGAAAAACTATTTTCTGCCCAAAGGGAGAAAAAGCACCAAAAGACACAGTCTCTCCATTCGGCATGCCCCCCCACACACACAACCGGGGACTCTTTCTTTTTGTTGCTGTTCTATTTCCCAAAGGCCCTATTTGGCAATGACACCCTTGGTCAATTTCAGGTTCTTAGGCTGGAAGCTCTAGTCCTCCAAACTAAGCTTCTTAGAAGCATTCGCCCAGTATACTGAAAATGAACTTCACCAAGGGTTAAGAAAGACACTAAGGAAGCCAGTCCTACTTAGCTCCAGGAAGGATGGTGCAGGCTGCAGATTTTCACCGTGCCCTTGGACGTTATTCTGTTTAACGTGATATCCTCTATGCGTACACACACAAAGAAAGTCAGTAACTTCGAATTACCTTGTTGTATTTCTGCCGCTTCACAGAATCTAGTTTTCTGTTAATATCTTTGCTGGTTGCAGCGTGAGGAGTGAGCTGTTCAATAATTGTACCGATTTGTTTCAGGGACGCCGTACATGACCTGAAACACAAACTCAGTCATCAGATACCCAGGCATCAATGAGAAGATTTAAGAGTTCGTCAAGTGTTCTGAACTGAAAAACATAGTCTTTTATTTCTAGCCCAGAAGCTGGTTCCCAAGTCCTTGAAAAACCAAAAGTGCATGAAACCAGCTAATTTTGTGGGTAGAATAACCAGAACTTCTTTATTACAGAAAGAAGAAAAACTAAAACTCTGTTGGTCTGCCACTGGACTCAAACTTTGTTCCACTAAAACTCTCATTTAACTCTAAATTATTTAATTTTACATTGATATTTATATCAGAACACTAAGTAATAAATTATTTAGGAAAATCTGCTTAGTAGGTTATAGTGGGTAGTACTATATGACTTAGCCAGGGTTAAAAACAATCAATACCTTAGTTTGTACTCAAGTAAAGCCCACTACCCCAGTGAGACCAGAGAAAGGTAAGAAGCTGAAGGTGAGTATATAACGGCTTAAATGAGATTCTGATCCAGCAGCCGATGGAAAATTTAAGGAAATAAGACAGCTGAGGGAGATATGAGTGCATTTGGATCGAAGAGGACTATCAGCCTCCCATATGGTTTTTACATAAAAGCACTGGAGAAATCTGCCCTACAGAGAGCCATGACAAACTTCCAACTGAGCAGGACTGCAGCCTGAATCTCCACAAATGACAGCCTGAATTTTCTACTCGCGAATCATACTGGAGAGTACAAGACACGCAAGCTGCCTCTTTGTTTCTGTGGAGGCACAATGTTTGGACAATGTCAGCAATGGAGAGCGAAGCTAGACATTAATTTGCAGGCTCTAATCTACAAATATCATCCTAGAGCAGATCCACTGGCGTTCCCAAGAATTCCCTAGCGTGGGATGTGTGGATTTCACCCTATGATTACCACACCTGAGACCAGTTGGTGAGAATGCTTGGATCCTGAGCTCCCACGTAAATAAGGCAGGGGACACCGACACGGCTTGAAATCAGTTCTGGAATATGTCGTCAGATGTAGATGAAGAATGTGCCATCAAGTTGTGACCCACTCAAGGCAAGAGACGAGCAGAGGTTGTTTGCCATTGCCTGCCTGCCTCTGAGAAGCAACCAACAATGGCCAAACCTGCATAGCTCCCAAGCCCTCATGAGCTTGGACCAAACTGGGCTGCTGGCTGAAACACGGGTCATATTTACCCACACCAAAAGAACTCATCGCCATCTAAATGCAGATGCTCTCTCTGTTAACAGCCAACCTGCCAGATATGGTTTCTAATTATTTATTTATTTAATTCAACGTGTAAAACAAAAAAAGGTCACGGCTCATTCAGCTTACCTGAGGTCATCCAGGACTGACTGGTAATCCTTTTCCGCTTCAGCAATACGAACCGCCTTGTTCGCTTCGTTTATTGCATCGTCCACCTGCTTGAGGACGCCTTGCTCCAGCACTTCCTGGTCGTACACATCAACGCCAAGGCCTCTGAGCTCCTCTGCCTGAGCGCACTGCCCCACAGGCTGGATCTGCTGCCGGTCAATATGCAGCAGAGCCGGTGCTTTCCTCGACACTCTGGAAGAAACTCCCGCAGACGATGTAGATGGCTCATCCTCAGGATCACAGTCCTCCCACCAAAGGTCCCTGGCATGACTGTCACCAGGAGATGAGTGGCTTCCTTGTCTGGACGTTGTTGCTTCCTCTGGACAGGAGTCATTTCTACCTGCTCCAGAACTTTGCTCCTGAGGACTGCCTTCTGACAGGGGCTTTTCAGAGGGCATCGCCTGCTCAAACATAAGGAAAGACTGCTAAGCATTCTCTCTGTGACTACAGCATAAAAGCCCTGCCCGGAGCTCCTCCGGTATCTTGTCTCACACAACTGCCAACCAGTTACTCTGAAAAGCCAAGGAACAGGACAGGGACTAGGGCCTTCCCCGATGATGCCTCCTAGCATGGATATTCAAAGGTTTGCTGCCACTGTACATGGAGACTCTCTTCAGTCACCACGGCCCGTTGCCACCAAAGGACTTCCTCACAACATGAGTGATTAAAAGGGGGGAAAATCCCCTTTGCTGGAGGGGATGTAAAGAAACAGGTAACTACATACATTGCTGGTTTCAATGCCTTATCGTAGCGTCCTTCTGGGACAAAATAATAGAGGAAATAAGGACTGTAACTGAGCATAGACAAAACCCCAGAAACACGAATCTCAGAGACGAAACTGCTCTCTCTCTAACACTTAAGAAAAGAATCAGCCTATTACTGTTTGCAGCTAAAACAGCAATTGCATCCACATGGAAGTCCCAAAACACTCTGAACGTAAACCTCTGGTACAAGAAACTATGGAATCTATACTTAATGGAAAAAACCACAGATATCTTTAAACAAATCAAACCCAAAGGAGAACACAATGATACTACATGTATATGGTCTCCTATCTTATCATACCTAACTACCCAAGATTCAATACCCGATGTAATAGGTACTCTTCGCCTTTTGTAGCATTTATAGCACAATACAGTTTGATATATAGTATGAACTGTACAGAAAGACTCCTCACCACAGTATAGATTAGATTGATTAAAGCACTTTTTGTATGTATAACGAAAATTATGTTAAATTATATGTATATGCCTATCTTGCATAACCCTGTTGTTAATGAGTTAATGAGAAAATTGAATAAAACCAGGGCTATTTTTGGGCAGGAGCTGTCCTTGAAAAAGAGCAGTTTCTGTCAAGAGCTCTCTAAGCCCCACCGATTCCACAGGGTGTCTGTTGTGGGGAGGGGAAGGGAGAGGAGTTTGTAAGCCACTCTGAGACTCCTTCAGGTAGTGAAGGGTGGGGTATAAATCCAATCTCCTCCTCCTCCTCCTCCTCTTCTTCTTCTCCTCCTCCTCCACTTGCACCTGGCTGGATGACCTTGAGCAAGCCCTAGTTCTGATAAGAGCTGTTTTCAAAAAAGAGCAGTTTCTGTCAAGAGCTCTCTCAGCCCCACCTATCTCACAGGGTGTCTGTTGTGGGGAGGGGAGGGAAGGGGAAGGGAAAGGAGTTTGTAAGCCGCTCTGAGACTCCTTCAGGTAGTGAAGCGCGGGGTCTAAATCCAATCTCTTCTCTTCTTCTTCTTCAGAGTTGGCCACGGCCACTACAGCCAAAACCTCTGTGAGCCTGGCTACAGAGGGAAGGCCTGGACTGACTTCCCTTCCCTTCAAGGAGGGGGGCTTGTTCGGGCTTCCTGCAGCTGCAGGGCACCCAGGCAAGCCAAGGGAAGTCATGGGGGTGCGGCCTAATAGGCTAATGAGTGGTGCTGGCATGGGGGTGTGGCCTAATAGGCTAATGGGTTTCTGCTTTTGGGTGTGGCCTATTATGCTAATGAGTTCCTGCTGGGCTTTTTCTACCCAAAAAGCCCTGAATAAAACTGATGGGGGGGGGGATGTGGGATTTGCTGCCAGAGGACGTAGTGATAGCCACAGGCACCTTTGAAAAGATATTTGCAGAGCCGGACAAAGTGCAGGAGGAGTCCACCAAGACAATCAGGAGCAGGAAAGGGGGAAGAGTCTGGGACTCCTCAGTTTAGATGACTGGGGGAGGTGGTGGGTGGTGGTGGTGGGCTGGACAGAGATGTACAGAATGACTGAAGGGAAGGCGGGAGCCGACAGAGAGAGCTTTCCCTTCCTCCCGCCCAAATACTAGCATTCAAGGGCCTCCGAAGGAGGAGGGAGAAAAGGGGATCGGCCCACAGCCGCCCCCCCCCCGGGGATCGAGACCCAAATACATTTTAATCCCGGTCAACGAGGGAACCTCCACGTCCAGGGGCAGTCTACCACCCTGACCCACCCCACAGCCAGGAGGCGGCCTCGGGCGGGCGGGGGAAGGAGGGAGGCGCGGATCCTCTCCCCCCACCCCCCCTCCATGGCCCCGCCCCTCCTCCGCCCTCGCCGAGGGGGCTGCCCCCCCCCCCCCCCCCCCCCCCCCCCCCCCCCCCCGGGGGCCCCCCCCCCCCCCCCCCGCAAACTTGTCACGGATTTAAAAGTCGAGCATTTCTTCTTCTAAGCCGCAGAGACATGTATCAACTGATTTCCTGACAGTCAGAGCGGCTCCTCAATGGAACAGGTTTCTTTGAGAGGTAGTGGGCTTTCCTTCTTTGCAAGTTTTTAAGCAGAGGTGAGATGGCTATCTGACAGCAGTGTCGATTGTGTGAAATTAGGCAGATCATGACAGGGAAGGGAAGGAAGGGATGAGTCAGTGCTCAGCTCTCGTGGCCCTTTCTTACATGCTCGGGGTAACAATAATCAATAATCACCACTTTGGGCTCAGGAAGGAATTTTCCTTTAGGCCAGATTGGCCAGGGATCCTGGAGGTTTTTTGCCTTCCTCTGGGCATAGAGCAGGGGTCACTGGGGGTGTGTGGGGGAGAGGCAGTTGTGAATTTCCTGCATTGCACAGGAGGTTGCACTAGATGGCCCTTGAGGTCCCTTTCAGCCCTATGTTCCTATGATTCAAATGACCCTGTACAACACACAACAGGGAAATGTAGCATTTTGCATATTTACATATGCCGGAAGGTCGAGAAAGAGATGTTCAAGGAGTTCTTTCTCTTAAGCTGCCTACCTCTGCCTGTATTCAAATGAGTGTGTGAGTGACAGAGAGAATGGGGAAAAGAAAGGGACGCCTCTAGTTCAAAAAAGCAAACACACACAGGTCTATAGCTCTTCAAAGTCTGGCATCGGAGCCAGTCCCCTTCTGTCAAAATGGACCGGCTTCCACAGCCCCCAGTCTCCTCCTTCCTCTCTAGCACAGTAATGCAGTTGTCAGGACTGGGGAACCATGTATAAACAGTTGTGACTTCCTTTTTAACAGCTCCCCCTCTTCAAGTCACATACTTTGCTCAAATTTTAATCACCAACCAGTTGTTCCTTTTTCACTACTTTACTGATAGCCTTTCTCTTCATGTTTCATGCACGTTTTATTAACAGTCTTTTAAACCACGTGAAGTAGGGTTGGCTGCTTCTTGTGGCCCAGGGCTGCTGGGAGCAGGGGGTGGGGCTTATTGCATGTGCCCATCCCCTGGGCTCTTTACTGCAGGAGCTCCGCTCCTGTGCGCTCCTGCAGGAAATGACCCCTGGTCTTATGGTTGCACTAGACCCCCCACCATCATGCCCCAGTCTTTCCAGGCCCCCGTCCCCAAAACTCCAGGGATTGCCCAGTTTGTTTAAAAAAAAAAAAGATATTTGAAAATATATTCCTTAAAAATTACACACACAAGAACAAGCAGCAATTTTATAATTACCAAGAAATATATTTAAATACATTTAAAGATAAACCAAAATCTCACTATGTCATTTGTTTGTCTTACGATATTTAAAAGAATGATACTGTGCTGAGTCGTCCATGAAGGGAAGCCATTTGTCTAATAAATTAGAATTACAGTTACCTGAAGTAGATTCAGGGGCTGAAATATGATCAGCTATTTTGTCCTTGAAGGGACAGAGGTGTTCTTCTGGTGAGAGGCTCAGTTCTGGAGTTGGCAGCCCTAACAAGGCTTATCTTCTGGGTTCTGGGCTTCCCTTCCCAAGTTTTTGGCACATTAATTAGATGTTGCTTTGTGCAAACCTAGTCTTTCTGCAAGAAACAAGTCCTCACCAGAGCCTGCCTTTGAAAGCACCTTTCTGCTGAACAGGTGCCATTTGCAGCTCTACAGTCGGTGCCCAGGGGTGGAAAATGAAATGTCCTTTTCGTTGGTTCTTGTGTCTATTTGGAATGCCTGCAGTGTATTCTTAAGGGCAGCTGGGCACTGCCGGCCCCTAGCATCTGCCTTTCTCTCAAAGCGTCTTACATCATTCACTTCTATTTTATCCTCACAACAACCTGGTGAGGTAGGTTACACTGAGAGAGAGTGACTGGCCCAAGGTCACCCAGTGAGCTTCCATGGCACAAGAAGGATTTTGAACCTGGGTCTGACACCCTTAACCACTACACCACAGCAGATGAACGAGAGAAGAAAACAGCAGGTTTTTATACCCCGTTTTTCTCAAAGCGGCTTACAATCACTTTCCCTTCCTCTCCCCGCAACAGGCCCCTTGTGAGGCAGGTGGGGCTGAGAGAGCTCTGAGAGAAAGGAGATTGGCCCAAGGTGATCCAGCAGACTTCACAGGGAGGAGGAGTGGAGAATCTTAACGAAGATGGGTAGCTGTGTTAGTCTGTCTGTAGCCGTAGAAAAGAGCAAGAGTCCAAAAGGCTAACAAAATGTGTGGCAGGGCTTGAGTTTTCATGAGTCACAGTTCGTGCTGTGATTCACAAAAGCTCCTACCCTGCCAAATATGCCAATGAGCTGTGCTGTCAGGGGTGTGGCCTATTATGCTAATTAGTTCCTGCTGGGCTTTTTCTACAAAAAAAGCCCTGCTCGGGATCACTAGGTTCACAATCTGGAGAAATGTTCCTCTATCCTCGGCACATGCATGTGGGACACGCTCAGCCTTCTGTCCTTTGTTGAGAAGACATCTTATCGTTCTTATTCATTTTGTCTTCTGGTGGTATAGGAAGTGTCTGGTTAGTTTGGTCAGGTCTTGGAAGTGTGTGTTGGCAGCCTCCGCAGAAAGGATCTCAGTGTGTGTATTTCCTTTCTCTTGTCCAGCAGACATCTACAATGTATTGCGCTTGTTAGAGCCCAACCTAGTGTTAACAGCACTAGGAGAATTTTGAACTGCCATTAGTAGCACCACAGGAGGCTTCGGCTGGTGCAGAATGCGCCGGCCAGGCTGTTGATGGGACTCCCCATGCGGGAG